ACTTGTAGTTCGCAAGAAGCTACTAGTAACAAGTGCATGACTTGTAGGTAGCAAGCAGCTACTAGTAACAAGTGCATGACTTGTAGTTCGCAAGAAGCTACTAGTAACAAGTGCATGGCTTGTTTTTCGCAAGCAACTACTAGTAACAAGTGCATGACTTGTAGGTGGCAAGAAGGTACTAGTAACAAGTGCATGACTTGTTTTTCGCAAGAAACTACTAGTAACAAGTGCATGACTTGCAGGTGGCAAGAAGCTACTAGTAACAAGTGCTACCTACAAGTCATGCACTTGTTACCAGTAGCTTCTTACTACCTACAAGTCATGTAAGGCACCTCGCCACTAGTTACTAGTAGCTTCTAAATGGCATATAATCCTTTGCCAAACGTTTCCACTAGGAGCAAGTGCAAAAGCTTTGGCCCTGGCGGATCTGCCGGGAAATTTTGCAGACATCTCGACCTCTGTTCAAGCAGCTTCAAGCATCGTGGCACGATGCCTTCAGAATCCAAAAGCCGCAAAAGCGGTGTAGCAACTGCCTACCCTAAAAAGGCACCCAGTCTACATTATCCAAATTCCACATTGGCATTTTCATCATTTGCCTGATTCTTGTGCACCGCCTGCTTTTGAAGCGGAGGTCGCTGAGTCATGTGCCACTCCACCAGTGAGACAAAACTTATTCCAACTCTGCAGCATTGCAGATGTGTACGGCCGCTTCCTCAGCATAAGCCAAGCTTATGGCCAATTGAATTTTTAGACACTCACAATTTCACAAGTATTGTCCACTGGTTAGCTTGATTCACAAGTTCGGTATTCATCACACCGCCAACTTGACATCTGAACAGTTCTGAACACATTGAAACGGCCCTGCGACTGTGCTGAGATCTCCACTTGATTTCTCTTTTTCCACTGCTAGTATTTACTAGCTCAAGCCTGCTGGCCTGGTTCGAAATCCGTAGCCTCGGAGCAGTCCGTGCCGTGCCGACCGCCCAACCGTCGTTTGCCCAGCCCCAACGGAAGCGCCGGGTCCGCATGGGGTCTCAACGTTCCATCCTGGGGCACCCACCAAAGATTGCCATTGCTCGTCGTCGCATGCCGCGGCGAGTCATCATAGGCATTTTCCTGGTCATTGTTGGATGGAAAGCCTGGCGTTCGAGATGAGGCCAGAGGTGGCAGCTTTTTCACCTCACAATGACATGGCCAAGGCACCAGTAATGGCCGTCCAAGCTGGATCATGACCATCAGCAAAAGTTCGGCCTCCGTGGTTACTTGCCCTATCTTGTGCCACTCTGTTTCGACATATTTCGACCCGTTTTCACACGACTCTCGACATCTATTTTTCTTCAAATGGCGCTGGATCTGCAGAAACTTGCAGTCTGTTCCAAGAGATCGCTCATCTAAACGCATGTGCATAGATGAGATAGAGGACGTAAATCAAATGGCACAAAAGCCAAAGTCCGAAGACGATCAGTCGTGCATCTGCGCGAACAGCCATCAAAGCTGAGAGTAACTGCATGAACTTATCTGCTTCGGGCAATCCAGCGATGTCACTGAGACCCAAATCCACCAAAGACACTCCGGAACGCTCTCCCAATTCCACATCCTGCAACAAAGCGGCAATCGCACCAGCAACTCCACCTCCTGTCACTCCTGCCTCAAGGTTTGAAATCGATCTGGCCGCCATCTTTGTGCTCGCCGTGGCCAAATTTTGTTGTACTTGCTCCACTTGACGGGATGCTTGTGCCCCGAGCCGGGCCTCCTTTGCAGTTGCTGCAGCTGCAGCGCTGGCCCGTCTTCCTTCTTTCTCTTGCTCTGCGCAGAGGGTCTCTCGCTTGCGCAAACCATCCTCAAGTCGTTGGAGTTCCTGCGAACGGACGCCAGGAACTCAAAAGCGGACACCTTCGAACATGAACATGAAACTTTGGCAGGAATCACTAAATGTCCTGGGGCTTCTTTGTCAGACGCTTGCTTTGTGCAAATCCGATGCAAGAAAAAGGTCCCTTGTCGTTTGACGGCCGTTTGCATGGAGAGCGTAGGACGGCGTAGGAAAAGTGAGAAACCTGTCCCATTCCGTTTCTGAGGTACCCATAAGGCGTCCGCCGTCATCCCTTTCCCGCCCAGAAACGTTCTGAAGGTCCAGTGTAGAACAAACAGCAACAAAACCAAAGGCCACAAAACACAAATGAACAACTAGGGTTCAAGGAGGCCACCGCGATTAAGTTGAAGGCCATTGCTTGGTTGGAGGCCATCCCTCTTAGGTTGGAGGGCCATCGCTATTGGGGTTGGAAGCCATCGCTGTTAGGTTGGAGACCGTTGCTATTGGGTTGGAGGCCATCGCTATTAGTTTGGGCTATTGGGTTGGAGAATGTTGGAGACCATTGCTATTAGGTTGGAGGCCATCGCTATTAGGTTGGGGACCGTCGCTATTGGGTTTGAGGCCATTGCTTTTAGGTAGGGCTCAAATCAGACCTGGAACGCAGTTTTCGTCAACGAAAGAAAGACACAAACACACACACACACACACACACCAGCTCCTTTTTCTGCAGTTCCAACTTGGACTCGGACTCCTCTATGGCCTGCTCCCGCTTCTCCAACAAAGCTTCTTGTTCAAGAGCTGCTTGCTCGCGCTCGGCCAGCAGCTGCTTCTGTTCATCTAACCTTACAATTGCTCATTCGGAATGGCCCGATCTTCCCCGCCGAAAGGGAATTCACAACACAGGGACAAAAAGAAAACGCAGTCTAAACAAAATGTGGAAACTCTTGGTAAAAACAACCGTGCACTTTGGCATCTGCGGCTGTCGCGGCCTCCCGCACCTCCAGGGCTTTCTCCCGTTCGGTGCACTCCTTCTCTCGACCCTCTAAGGCTGCCAGCTCCGCTGTGAGACCGTCTCCAAGACTGGCTCGTGCGAGCTGAGCCTAGCAGGTGGAAAACGATCAAACAACGTTGGGAAAGCCTCGTATGGCATGAGGACGCCAACAGTTGGGTTACTTGGGCTTTCTGTTTGGTTGTGGCTCGTGCTTTGCCATGATGCATTGCAGTTGCACCCTTTGCGTTCCACATTTTGATGGTATTTCTTGGCATGCAGCAATGGTGGCTAGAATGGAGTGTGTGTGTGTGTGCGGGCACAGAGAGTCCTGCAAATGTACTACGGTGGCATCTTTGGTTGCGTCACGCGTCTCCGTCACATTGTGACGTAGCAGCCGCACCGTTCGCACCCCACCCTCCCAAAAACTTTGTCAAATGAAGCAGTCCTGGCCTCGCGTGCTTCGAGCGCCTTCATACGCTCAGCACACAATTGCTCAAACTCAGCCTCCCTTGTTGACACCTTGCTTTCTCGTTCTGCCAAGACATTCATTCCCTCCTCCACTTGCTGATTCTGAGCTCCTTGTTGCTCAAGCATGGCTTCCAACTGAGCGGCTGCAGCCTCGCGAACGGAAAAAGCACACAGTGAGTTTCTCACTCTTGCACTTTTTTTGGAATCTTCCTCTCCGAGAACTTGGGGTCTGCCCCGAAGCGATTTCACACTAAATGCCGATTTGACTTCGCTTGCCAAATTGCTGGGCCCCGGGTGCTTTCCTCGACTGCGCTCTCTTTCTGGGTGCGCATTTTTGGACTTGGCGGTCACTTTTTGTGGCGCGACAGGGGGTCCTCATGTCAGATCGGAACCGTTTTTACTTCGATGTGTTGCAGATTCGTGGCAGGCGCAGCACTTTGGACTTGGTGATGGTCTTTTGCATGGCAGGTGCAGTGAATCGTGAACTTTGGGCATGTGGCTCGTTTTCACAATTGTCACGTGAAAGTTTTTTTTGCATCATGAATGTGTCTTTGGAAATGCATTTGTTGCGAAATGCATCGGCATCTGTGCACTGGCAGGGCTGCGTGATGTCAATCTTGATGTGCAGATTTCCTGGCAGGCGCGGCGCTTTGTGAACCTCGACATGCACATTTTGTGGCAAAAGCAGCAGTTCGTGTGGAGGTTGTGGCAGGGATGCTTTGTAGACGAAGTGCAAGCATGTCCTGTCATATGGACGCTACTAGGGGCTCCTGGCCTTACTACTAGGAGCAAGAAGCTACTAGGAGCAAAGGGCATCGCTACTAGGAGCAAGTTTGCTTTCATCTCCGCTCTCTCTCACTTGTGTGCTCATATGCGCGCTCTCAAACGTTCTCACAGGCGATGGTCTAAGGATACCATTCAGATGAATCTCCGAAATATTGATGTCCCATTGGCGCAAGTGCTTCACTATGTGCGTGATGCTTGGCGGTCATGGTGCTTCAACGAGTTTATCTACTCCGGTCGGCATGAAGTGCAAGATCTTCAGCATACTACTCTTGATCAGCTTCAACAGCTGAACTGGGCTAGAATCCGGTCTGTTGCTGGTCAATCTCCTGGATGTCGCACTGTGGCTACTGGTGCAAGTGTCAGCCCCGCTTGGACCAAGCAGTGCCCGTGGTGCAATGAGGTGCTTGGTGGCATCACATGGCGTGGTATTGCAGCTCTCCGATTCGACATCTTCGGCCTCCTGTGCCGAGTTGTCCCAGCGACTTGGTTGGGATAACAGGTCTTGAAATACCTTGGTTCCTTTCAGCTGTGGCACTTGGCCTACGGCGCTGGCGCTGGCGCCGGATAGCTGCTGCAACGCGGTGCGCAGTCGATTTGGCGGCTGGTGCACATCCCAAAGAACAACACATCTCCACAGGCGTGTTCTTTCATGTTTTCATTTGCGTGCTTTCACAAAGGCGCTCACTCATACCTGTGCTCTCATATGTGCCCTCTCATGCGTTGGCTCCAACACGTGTGCCTCATGTGTGTGCGCTCTCATATGCGTGCTCTCATCTGTGTGTTCTCACAGGGGTGCTATTCACCCTTGCTCTGTTGTAATATGGTTTTCCCCAGTCTCTTGCCTTTTTTCATGCATTGTTCCTCTTTTTTGACAAAGAAAGGCTTCTTCAGCACACATTCCTTGGTGTCTACCGTCCACTTCAAATTTCAGCCTGCCAAACCTGTGATGTATCACACCAAATAGAGTATATTTTCTTCCTGCAGAGAACAGTCGTTTTCGTAACTCACACCCACAGACTATGCTTTCCTTGATGTAGGGTACTTGTTGAAAGCTTTGTTGGAAAACTTGCCTGCAGGTCGTGCTGCAGGCACGGTGTTTCGGATCTTGTGGAACTTGCTGGTCTTATCTTGTATTAAAAGTTGTCAAAACGACTTGGATGTCTTCGGTCTAACTTTTGATTTCAACCACTCGGCTTTCGCTTGCTCAACTTTGCTATTGGTTGCTTTGAGCTGGCTTCTCCCGCCGAAACCCTGGACTCTCGTGCCAGAGTGCTTGCTTCAGACTTGCAATCGATTGGTATGTCCTGTGGTGTCTCTCTTCTTGGACGGGGAACTGCTCCGCGGGCCACACGTTCTCATGTGAAGTCTTAACGAGTTCACTTCCATCCCTGGAAAAGGATGACACCCCAGGTTGGTAAACTTGGCTGTTTTTGGTTGGATTGCAGTTATTACAAAGAGAGAGAGAGAGAGAGATGGTGCAAATCCACCAAGGTGGCAGGACTTGACAAGATCCACAAATTTCTCATTGGATGATCATGTTGGCAGCAGTGCAGAACAGTGCAATGTTAAGAGATACACAGCAGCCGGATTTCCCATTGTCCGCCTGAATCGCTTACTTATTGTGTGCAAATAATGAAATGGACGATGCTACACGTCATTCCTGTATTACAAACACAAAAACTGCACTAAACCTTTCTATTGGCCAAAGCTGCCTCTTGAGTCGGGCCAACAGCGCCAACAAAACATGGCAAGTTACGGCAGCAAACTCGGCAGTCGTTACTGCACTTACTGCACTGCGAAACCCACTGAAATGCAACTCCTGCCTCGCGTGCCTCGAGCGCCTTCATACGCTCAGCACACAATTGCTCAAACTCAGCCTCCCTTGTTGACAC